CACACGTGTTCCCTCGCCAGAGTCCGTGTGGCGTTCCCCCTTTCCCATGTATCAACCTATAGCCACACGGTACCCAATGGGTGCTTAGGCGTTAGGCCTTCGTGGTAGTTCGAGTATTAAAAAAAAATCGCTGTATATCGTTATTTGATCTCTGTCGCGGCGTTTATTTTAAACTGAAAAATGTATGTATCGCCATTTAAATACTACGATTTATAACTGGCCACTCAAGCAATTAGACCCAGACTCTCAATCACAGGTTAACTACCATGTTCGGTAACTATAGCTTGTAAGTTAACCATTAATTAGTGCTTCAGGTTTTTGTTAACCAACCCGCAACTTTTGATCTGGTAACGCTGTCCTCTGAGTTTCACTGCGCTCGATGTTTGTGTCTTACGTTACATGTGACAACTCATGTCACTGTCAAGCAAAAAATGTTAGGCACTGGGATTTGACTACAACTTTTTAGTCAACTCGTAGATGGTCTTCTGGTTTTAGTTAACTACCGTTTTACGACAAACCTGAAATTGAAAAAAGCGTTTTGAGAGCTAACTTCTGGGCAGCAATAAGATCACATTTAATCTAAAATTGAAAACTTGGTCCTAGTCGCTAGGTCTAAAGATGTGCACCAACCATTCTTGCTTATACATGGGAATTATTGAAATTACCCGACTAAACAGTGATTTATTCTGTATTTTTACACCTCTTGTCATACTTTACCGGCTTCATCCCGATTACCTGCGTAGTTTCAAAAACACATTTTTTCCGTAAAATGTTTATATTTACTTTGTCGGCCGTGTTTTCCCACGCCGTCTCTTAATCGGCTGTTACAAAATATACAAAACAGTTTCAAACAGCAGCGTATTTACGAGTTCATACACGGATACATCCAATAACCTAATTGAAGCATTTCAATATGAAACGAAAATGTTCAGTAGTAAGCTGGGGAAATATTTATAGTTGATTCATGCAATGTCAGATACCGTGGGTTTCTGAGGCCGCTCATTACTAGTTTGTTGTAAGAATTGCCACATTCTCAAAGCTGTGGATTCAGTATGTTAGATTTAGAATCATAATTGATGTTGCAAATATAGTATAAGACAATTCCAAAAAAAGCTTTACGAAAAGTGCTTCCTATCACTAACAATATATCTATACAGCCTTGAGATATCCTATATAAATCAACATGGTGTGTTCTATTGTTAGAGTTGTTTAACATAAGCCTCATTTCTATAGATTAATTTTTGTATCTGCGAATGTTTGCCCTCAAAGCAACTAAAATAGGTTGTGTTGAAGTTTTGGCGTAATTAAACATACAGAGCCTTTGTGCACTGGAGATTATATTTTGGCGCTCCAAAACACGTTCTCAGGTGAGCTTCAGTCTCACTTTACTTTACCCTGATGGATTGCTGAATAAACATAAAAAGATTGGCAAGAGAATATCCACGCGGTGATGTAAACGTATCTTCATCATAACAGAGGCTAATATTGATACAGAGGTTGTCTGTTTCGGTGTATCTCAGTTAAGAGAGAACATAAATTATCAAAAACAAATTAGAAACTGTTTTCTACCATACTTTTAGCTATATGGAGTTTCTAGAAGTGGTACTGGCAGTAGTGAAAAGGAGAAGTCTGGCAAGTAGAAGAGAAGAAGACTAGCAGCAACTTCTTCTCTGACGAGAGGTCTGGAAGTTATCACTGTTTGGGGACTCGACAATTTGATACAGTTCAATGCTTCCAAAACATAGTGCTGTAACTTTGTTTACGGCTAAGGAGTAATTCTCTCCACATAACCCATACTGTTATGTCAAAGGGATTTGCTCCTCAGAGCTCTCCTCGATGATGGCACCGCGCGTCAATCCAGTCAGTCGGCTTCTGCCTCACATCTTCACCCTGTCAAGTTTCCTACATCCAGAACTGGTTGATAAGACCGCCCCTTTGTTCATAGAGTACCAAGATTGGGGATCAGTGGACCTGAGGGGCACTTTCAAGTTCTGCTTACCTTTGGCATTTCAAAGATTGGACTAACAAGGTGTCATTGATCTTTTAATAGCGCAGTCCCTAGCATAGTAGTAACCTTGTGTTGAAGCATCATCAAAATCCCACCGGTACTTCCCGAGTTATAGAGGGGTCAAGGATTAGTGGTTAGACAGACCAACAGACAGACCGGCAGACAGACTGACAAACAGACCGACAGAAAAACCGATGGAAGAGACCGACATGAGTGAGTGATGTACATATCATGTAACATCCAAAAAGCATAATATTTCATTTCCTAAGCTTTTTCCAATTACAATACGTCTTTTTCAGAGGCGCGAGGGCCTGTAACCCCACTCTTAGCAATGCCACTGTACAGCATCGACTCAACTTCTTTGCGCATCTTCAAGCATGAAGCGGAAGTTAAAGTATTTGAATAGTTTACAATCTGCTGTACAACTAGATCGTGAAATGAAGTAAGGATCGTGTGTAAGCTATACAGAATGTTCTCTGGTATTCCCCGATCAAAGAAAAAAGCTGGAGCGGCTATATTAAAGATTCAGGACTGTATCCATGGCACACCGCTTTGTATTTGCCTTGCCGAGAAGTTGATTAAAGCATTTATTATTCAGATACCAGATATGTTCAATCACGTGGGAAGAAATGAAGGTTTGTAGAGATAAATGAAACATTCGAATGATTTAAATCCATTTATGTGGAGTTGTTTCCTATCTGTAGAATGAAATAGTCAAATTTTGGATTCCTGTAAGCTACAACGATTAACAATGGTGGCTGAAATTATCAAACTTTGCTTTTATTTGTAAGGCATTTTTGTTTACTTACGCAGGTCTACGGTATCAGCTTCATCAAGACCTTTTGAATAATGCATATTTCTTATGTGTCTACTCAAGATAAGTGAGAAAGTTCTACCCGCTTTTGCTCCAGAAGCATTGCCTTTTCCAAGATATAACAAAATGGCAGAAACCGCTACAATTCTAAATTTTAAAATTTGTAACTGATTCATGCCCCTTCTAGAAGTCTCCACTACCCCGGAAAATACTTATCTACTCACCCGATGGAAAACTACTTTTGTATGCAGATTTGACACAAATATTATGTTAGCTTAATCATCGTAAGAGCGTCTTGAAGAGAAAATTAATAAATAGGTTAATGACTAAAATCAGCGGTGCTCTAAAAGCAGTTTAATAGCAATCCCAACTAGCAAAGTAGTGATATAAGCTTTTGGTAAAAGAACCGTTCAGCCATAAAAGCTCTCTATTGTTGTTGCCTGAACACCAAAATGCTGGCTTAATGTTGTGTGGAATGCAAATTTGCTTTCTGCAACATATTTGCTCGAAAATGATGTGTTTAAAATATTCTTATAGCATAGTTATACAACACCTTATAGGGCAAATTTTTAACTGTTGCATAAACGTTTATACAAGTATTTTATACGGCATATTTGCAAGTTAGTCAAAATGGTTGTGTTGTGGCACCCATGCTAACGTTTATAAAACAAACCCGAGCCTTGTTGCTTTGCTGTGCAATTTACTACATTAGCCAACAGATTGCTCCCAACGGAAGCACTTATACAACTGTTACATATGCTAAATATGTTGGTAAACAACTTCACCATAACCTAACTTTCTGCTGTCATATTTTTGTTGAAATGCCATAACCAATATTTTAAGACAAACAACGCATGCATATCGGTTCAAAAGGTTTTATCAACTGTTCAAACAGAAGATATAGATCTGGTACAAATTCTGGGTAAATCATTCGACTCTGTCGGTATTTCATTTCAGACATTTGTCAAATTGTTGTATAACACCTGCAGGCAACACCAAAATATTCTAATAACCTAAAGACAACATGGGCGATGCCATGATTGTACACAACCACCCGCCATATTGGACAAACATTTATTCCTCTATTTAATATTAAATAATTATGTTTCAGTTCGAAATTATAGATATAAAGTGATAAACATTTGTGTAATTGTGTCTAAATATAGGATTTGTGGAAGATTTAACGCAGATAATTTCAGTTTTCCATCTTAAAAATCTAGACATACTTTTGATCATTGTCAAAATATGAATCAAATACGAAGCCCGTAGAAACTGGGTAACTAATTTGCACGATAATCACAATAAAATTTGCTGCGCAAGTAATTCAATAGCCCTATGTCAAAGTGTAGAAGTTTATCATATACCTGTGTATGAAATTCACAATGGCCGATATGTAAGTAAACAAGATGACTGTAATGTGTTAGTTATATGTATATTCTTCACTTCGTCTATACAATACATAGCAGATAGTTTGGTTGCAATTAAGTAGAATCACGTAAGAGAATAGTTGTATAGTTGACAAAAACTGAATCTTGCACTGACGCAAATGTCCTATAGCGGCTGCAAGAGGCTTACACTTTTGTTTTATAACTGTTACCTGCAGCCCTTATACAACTTCTTAAATGACTGAAGTGTCCTATTAGGTGTGCCCATTCCGTTTGTATAGCTGTTCTAAGAGGGTTTTGCTAATGTTCTTACAGTATACAATGCTGTTTAAGGAATACTGTATAATCCTTCTTGCAACTCTAATAGGAGTGATAATTTTTAGTTGGGATGGGCTCTGCTCCTCAGAGATTCCTTCCATGATGTGCCTGCCAGGCAGACCCGCTTGACTTCAGCCTCCTATTCTAACTGTGACGAACTTCACACATCCAGAACTGGCCGATACTGTCGCTACTCTGTCCTAAGAGTGTCGGAATTGTTAAACAAAAGGAAAATTTTCCCAGTTCTACTAACCTTAGGCAGCTCAAAAACCGGATGAACAAAATTTGTTTGGGATCCCCATAGTAGTGTGGTGTCCTGACATTTAGGCTTCTGAATGCGCGGCTGCTTCGATATAAAAAACATACAAAAAGACAGTGTTAGTCGAATATTTAATGAAAGCAAAAGTTTTCTTGAGTTTCAATTTCAATTTTCAATACAATACAGTTGTAACGTCTAAGAATACTGTTTTTTTAGGTATAAAAGTTGACCAAATCCTAAGAATTCATGACTTGAGGTATGCTCCAGAAAATTTTCAAATCACCTGGTAGCCCGCATATTCTAGAAGCACACGCGTTCTTCAAAGAAAAATGCTATCACAGAGAGCGTTCTGCACGCTTCGCTTTCAATCATCAAAAGGCATTCATCACTCGTAGCAGCGACCTACTACAGCGTCGTTGTGTCGCTCTGTCGCGCTCAGTTTGCCTTTCAATGCGTCCCGTGCTTTAATTAATACAACTTGGCCCACAACTCACAACTCACGGCGCCGTACTCCTCCGAGCATTCTTTAACGACTCCCACAGCCAACAGCGACAGAACTTCACTTTCGTGGATTTAGCTGGGAGTTTTACACTTCTCTACTTTTGTCGACGTGATTTTGGCGGCGGTGAGACTGATGAATAAAGCGTGTGTATTTAGTGAGAATTGCATGTAGGTATCAGAGTTTCATGAGTAGAAGCAAGAAGTGCAAAAAAAGAGGTTTTTAATGCAGAGCTCACGTTTGTTTAAAGTTACTTTGATTCAGACCCTTGATAATTGCTCTTTGAAGTCTCAACTAGATTCCTTCTTAAGTTAATTTGAGATAGCATGTATCCTTGTAACAAGTTCATTATAACTAGGCGAAATCGTATCAAGCTGTGTGTGTCAACAGATGCCAGGTAAATACTAATCTTTACGTGGTATCTCTTGTCGGATGGGAGCATAGACAACTGGAAAAATATCGAGCATAATTCAGATACCACTGAGGGTATGTCAAGAGGTTCATAGCACGTGAAAGCCTGACTATGAACAGGAGCAGAAAAATTCTCTATACCGAGTGTTTCAAATTCGACCCTCACCATTGGGAAACGAAGTCGCTTAAGTGGAGGCAAGGTTGAAATTATCAGATAATCATTTGTTTCGCTTTTATCTTTTTTTGACTTGTCATCGTTACTTAATCTTCTGTATACAAGATATATATAGTTCTAGCCTTCTTCAATTATTAATTCGTAGCTCTAGGATATTCATTTCCACTTCCTGTTTCCCTCTGGTTTTCTGTATTCTTCGTCTCTTTTTATAGATAAGGTTTTTTTTTCTTCCCTTCTTTTTGTGGAAGTGATTAATTGTTCAAACACCTATGTATTATGTGTTCATTCAGATCACTGATGTTTTTCTTTTTTTTTGTTATTATTTTCTGATTCATTGTCTATATATATATATGTGTATATATGTATGTGTATATATATATACATATAGGTGTGTATATATATATACATATAGGTGTGTATATATATATATGTGTATATATGGTACCATTTTGTTTTGATTTCACTAATTTCCTGTGATTGAGTGTAAAAAAATAAGTTGATGCTGGAAAACAAGGGACGAAACGTCATATTGAAATTCTAATTGTGCCGTCTTGTATAGGAGTTCATGTGCAATTCATTTTGAAATCCCACCACAAATAAAGTCAGGAGAAAATTAAAAACCATTTTGGGAACTTTCGTTTTTTACGTCTCTTTCCGGAAGTACTCTCCATTTCAAAACTTTTTAAGAGACATTTTGCTGATTTTCTGAATACGCAACTTTATCCCTATTTAAGCGACTTCGTATCCCTTGAAGTTTCCGAGATTCCAATGGTGAGGGTCAAATTTAAAATATCCTGTTTATTTTTTCATCAACTTTGGGTTGAACTTACATAGCTAGAATATATAAATACTGTTTGTGCATACACTTCGAGGGTGGAAGACAAGGGAACAGGGAACAAAAACCCTACTATCCGAGTTTTATTGAAAGCCATTCGTAATACATTCCTCATACTTAATCAATGCAGTCGTTTATTGAGAATTTTTATTATGTATTTACTTCTTTAATTTGTCATTCGATGTGTGGAATCATATTTCTTCGAATTTATGTTTATACTTTTTATATGAGAACTGAATGGGAATTACTGAGTAAAACTACTTGACAATTTTGGGTTATGTTATTTTTTCCAGAAAGTCCCCTCTAGAGGAAAATTCGAGCATATTTGGGCAGTTCTACGAAAATTCCTAGATCATTCTGGTTTACAGCAAAATGAACTCACAACTTTTCCAAAATTGTCTCCTTCATTCTGAAAAATTTTATATTCGAATAATTATTGTACTGCTGACTAATTTGACAGTCATCAAACAGTCAGAAGTGTCTGTACGAACAGCGGATTACTTATCGGTAATCGGTCTGACCTCCCTCAGCCAACTCGTAACATTCTCATGTACGCAATTAATACAGTCAGCGATGTGTCAGTGACAGCTAACTGCGTCAACTAGGTCATGACTTGTCGCCGACTATCAGTTTGCTAATTGTCAGCAAACAGGCTGTACGAACAAACCAATAGTTTCTTAAGACAATTGTGTAGCTTTAGTTTATATTATTCATCAATCATTCAAAACCATACATACATCACCAGAAATTGTTTAGTGCTCTAAATAAATAAATAGCGTTTATTGCCCAACAGTTGAGAAAAACATTTACAGGACAATCCTAAAGTAAATCAAAAACCAAAAGAGAAAATACATAAAAAGCAGGTGGTTCCATCTGAAGAAAAAAAAACAAACAAGAAAAAGAAGTAAAAGAACATATTTAACTCAAGTGAGAAACATATCATATACAATCTAAGCAATTTCTAGCTACTCCCAGAATGCTGTTGTAACTCTCAGCATGTATATCACAATAATTTGATATCGCATTGAAAGTTTCACACATCACATATATGGGTGCCTTCAAAAACAAATTTGTGCGAGCCCTGTCTCAATAAAAGGTTTTAGCTGAACGAGTTTGAATAGATGTAACAGTAAAGTTTAGTTGAGCCACAATCCCATTAGCATCAATTTGATGTGCAGTAATTTATACAAGAACATGATTGATGCACACTTCCTTCTCAGCTCTAAAGACTGCATTTGAAACCTAGACAATAACAAACTTTCAGATATATACCACGCTCAGGGTATGTACCGTCAACTTTGAAAGATAAAAATTTTAGAAACTTTCTCTGAACATACTCAAGAGAATCAATGTAGCAGTTGTAAATTGGATTTCAAATTAACGATGCGTATTCCAATTTCGATCTAATATATGCAGAATACAAAAACCAACAGTGACTCTGGGCGGGTAAAGCTTCTATAGTTTCTCACAATAAAACCGTACGCCCGCGAAGCTTCATTCACTTTTGAGCTATGTGGAGTGAAAAATTAAGTTTATGGTTAAAAACTACACCCAAATCCTTAATTGAGTTATAACGATTTATGTAAACATCCCCAATTAAATTCGCAAGCAGAAGTTTTCCTGGAAAAAAATAGATGCTACCACCACAGCTATAGATGCTGATTCAGGAGAGAAACTCACTCACAAAGTAAATATAATTGGTGCTGAATAAGATCTTAGTGTAGGAACAACTTCATAATATTGTGACTACCAACAAAACAGCTATATAATTTTGTGGTAGGTTAGTATTTTACAGGAAAAAGCACAGTCGCTTTTCTGTTAAAGTGGATTTTGACTTTATTGATCTATCACACTCTACAAAATTTCTAAGTACTCCTCATGGACAGTGATGTGGGTTGGAGAACGAACACCGATGAACTAAGCAAAAAACTAAGCAGAATTTATTATACCTTATTACAATTAGGAAGTTGTTTCGATGCCTCGTAACTTCACTATTACCTATTTCACAATTGTATACCCGCATATACTCGTATCATACCACGTTATAATATATGCTTTTTTAACGCAGCAAATAGTATTTTGGTTAATCTTCAATATACAATTTGGTGATTCATGTAAGTCATTATTTAAGAAACGGCGTATTAAATATAGAATCCCTTTACATACTCATAAAAATCTGTGCCATTAGCAACACAAAACTCCGATTTGTATACAAATATTGACATTTATAGCTCTAGGAGCTGCAACACATGAATTTGTGCACTATACATCGATACATGTGAACAGTGAAGTTCCTCTTACATGGGCGTCAAACTCCTCAATTCGTTGCCGATGTCTATAAAATGGCTCAATGGAGAAAGACTCAATGGTGATCTCAAGAACTTCTTAATGAATGGTGCATTTTACTTCTTATAAGAATTAATTGACGCATGTAATTGTTTATAGCTTGTTTAGTCTGTCACTTATATGTATAATTTTTCAAGAACAAACGTGTAAACATATGGACTAAGAATTGTCGTGACTTATCCAATATTATGAATTATAGATCTTTCAGATTATTAAATGAATTAAACTGAAATGAAGTTCTCAGCAACCGATGTTAATCAAATGATTGATTCATTTTCTACTTGAAATCCACGAATCACTATTTTTGATGGTCACATTCGCATTCGGTGCCTCAAATTACATGAGGGTACAAAGCTTTTAATATAGGAAACAAAAATAGAAATATTGACCCACAAATTCTTACACTATATCAAACAAAAGACAGTCATACTAGTAAGGTCGAATGCGCGAATTGCGAGTCTGCCAACTTGACACTATCACCCACGAGTGTTCCCCAATATCACTTATCTTCAAATTCGGCTCCACAACACTTCAAGCACCCAGAGTTTCACTCTCTAGTAAGAACCGGAACCAAAAAAGTTGTACTAATGTCTACTTTATTTTATGATGGCCTTGTAGAACTTCCACACGTCATATGAAGGTCATGTATTTTCCTGTACCATTCTAAAGCCCTCCCTGCCATTGGTTTAAGATGGATGCTTGCTCAAAACCAATTCTTATCCGCAGTGAAAAACAGACGTTATTCAAAGAAAAGTACGGTTAGCTTCTCTGAGACGACAAACTGACAGTAATAAAGTTTTCCGAAAGCGACACATTCCTGATCGTTCCGCTGGCATTCCTTTCTCTGGAACGTATCCTATCGATTCCATTTGTTTTCTGATGTCGACCATCCGTGACATTTTTGAGGACTTTTTCCTATCGGTAAAATGGGATTTACGGGCTATTCTGACAGGGGTTTGCTTGCGACCTTCCTTACTGCAACCGTTATTC